TTTCAAACTGTTGCATGTAGTCACGCAATGTTCTAGATTAGGTCAATTTAGAGAGGAACCCCTTCAAGTTTGTATAAGCAGAGGCCCCAAACCTCTCACGCAAAGATCGCGATAGCTCTTCCCACGAACGAAGCATACCGCTGCTGAACATCCATTGATACCAAGCGAACGCCGTGACCTCCATGCGCAACCCAGCAATAGGCACCTTACTTTCTTCAGGAATTTGTTGAAGAACAAAGAACAGTTCCGTGCGAAAAATCCAATTATTTGGATCTACGCCACTGAGCATAGGAATTTCTAATCGAATCGCTCTTGATAAATTGCGAACATTTGTGTTCAATCGTGATCCAGGTTGAGCCGAAGAAACACCATCCGGTTGTCGCGAACCAGTTTGAGCCGAAGAACACCATCCGAGGAAGGAATTGGTGAAGGTCGTAACGAAGGCTCATGGTGACGCACATCAAAAGCCAAAACAGTAGTATTGAGTTGCTGCAATTGAGAAACTATCAAATTTATTTGAGTTTGATAATCGTCGAGACGAGTTTCAATCCGAGATTGATTGTTCTCTACACGAGACATCAACGATTGGTGATCATCAAAACGAGTATCGACATGTTGCTGAAAGGAATTAAACTCCTCAGCCAGATCCTGTACACGCATTTTGGCGAACGATTGGCGTTCAAAGGATGAAAGCACCAATTGTTAGGTATTGTCCTAACAGAGAAAGGAAGAGACTCAGAAAAAAAAGAACACGATTGTATTATTCAGAATGAATCCTGTTTTGTACATCAGTACCTATTTTATACATCAGTAAAATCTCCACGTAATCTCACTAACTCCAGTAACTATACCTGTAACATACACCTGTAATGTTTAATGACACCTGTCACTTCCCTACCTTTACATGTAATTGTCTATGCTACATACTCATTCAGTCTAACCGAATGCTTCTTCTCACGTTTAGACACTCTTCTTGTAACAGAAAGAAGTATTATTTTGTTTTCTACGACTTATTAAGCAATGCATAATAATTATTTCAATTTTTTCTCTAATTTTTACTTGGGAAAAATATTTATGCTATCATAGGAGATAAATTTATTTCTTACAATTCAAAAATTACGTCTGTTGCGATTTGGGAGAAAAAATATAGAACTTTTTTGAACTTTTTTTTCACTTACAATATAATTTTTTTCAAAATACACTCTACTTGTCATTTTGAAATTGTAGGAAATAACTATATATCATGTAACAAAATAAGGAAAAATGTGTATTATTTTAAAGGATGTAAAGTTGTGTCATTTTAATTGAGAGAAAGAAATAGATAAAAGGAGGAGAGAGAGTAAACAAAAAATATAAAGGCGTGGGTCCCACCTCTTTGTGAGAGTGAAAGGATATAAGTTGTGTCATTTAAAAGGACAAACATTTTTCCCACAAAATAATCATTAAACCTTTTTATTTATCTGGTTTTGTCCTTTCCCTATTAATTTGATCTGAAGATTATCAAGGTCTTCTCGCTAAACTTGATATTCTCTAAGATATATTACAGTATATGATTTTGTACACTTGCCTTTTTAGTAGATTGGGTGATAGCTACTTCAGAACCATTTATTTATTTAAATTTTTTGCATAAGGCTTAGATTATTGATGATGAGTAGTTTGTGGGGAAACCCTTTTAAAATGTTAAAGCTTCTTGACATTCAGCGCTTGGTTTCTCTTACTTCCCAGCTTGCTGTAGTATATAGAGAGATTGAGCTATATTAGCTATTTATTTGGCATTGTCTAGACTGAAAAGATAGTGGATATGACAACTTAACAAGTTCATTATTAGGTTCCATTGAAGTTCTGAAAGGGGACTGATAATTATAAAGCCTCCGCACAATATCTTAAGATATCCAATCTCACAAAAACTAAAGCAAAAAGCACTTAGACCCTCCATTTTTAATATAAAGAGAAAGTTCATCACAAATTCCCCGGAAACTTTTTTTAATTCCTCTATTGTTCAACTAATTATTCAATTAATCTTATTAAAGCTCAACTTTTTTATAAATTTTACTAACAAGTTTCTTAAAAGTATTTGTTAAAAAATAAGCATTTGGTAAGAAATAAAAATAATAAATAAATTATTAAATAGATTATTGAAGAGTTTTTCTAAAAGCACTTGCTAAGGAATTAAATATAAATTTTTCTAAATAAAACAAAAAATACTTTCCTTTAAAAATTTAAAAGCCTTTATTTTATTTAAATCTTTTCACTTTTATTACAAAACGAATACTTTCCTTAAATTACATGTTAGCCAACTTCTCAAAATAAAAAAATGAATTATTAAATTATTTAATGGGAAAAATATTTCCGCAGTTACTGCAGATAAGTTATCTGCATTTATTCTCAAAACGACGTCGCTTTGGTATTGAAATCTTAAAAAATTATAAATATAAAGACTATTATAACCCTGAAATAAATTAAAATTATAAAAATACCATGATTTCCGCCCAAAACGACATCGTATTGGGCTTACTGCAGATAATTATCTGCAGTAACTGCAGAAAAAGCAAACCCTTTTTAATATATTGATTATTAGATTTTGTTTGACTCATATAAATTGAATAATGAGGATTAATTTTCTCATTTTACATGAGACAATTTTCTGATGCTACACACTCATTACATAAGTGGGGTCCACAAAAAAATGAAAAGATAAAAAAAATAAAGATGGGACCGACCTTTTAATTGTGTGTGAAACATGAGAATCTTTTCTTATGTAAAATGAGAAAAGATTAACCCTTGAATAATATAACCATTCACAAGTTTAATTCTTTTAACAAACTAGTTACTAATCTAATATGAAAATACACGCATTATGGTAGTCATGTATCATTCTCATGTACTACTAGTGCAAAAATTGGCTTGCATATGCCACTAATCACACATGAAAGATGCATATGGGGGAGTGCGCCTTGAATGAGCATAGGAATGATATGCATCATGCAGAACATGATGCGTGCAGACACATGCTAACTTTTGCACAAGTTGTGCATAAGGTGATGCGCGACTTGAATGTATACTATCAGGATACACACCTTTTCACATAGATTGGTAAATAATTTGTCAAAAAATTTAAGGTGATGAAATGTTTCTAATTTTACTTTACATGAGTGGAGAGGGGAGATGGTTGGATCGATTGTGAGAGACTTGCTTGTGGGTCGGTGGTTGGTGTTTAGTAGATTCAGTGGTGGTGGAGGCTAGTGGTCGAAGGGGTGGGGTTTTGGTGGGATTTGGTCGGAAGAAAGTGGTGATGGCCGTGGAGGATTATGGCAGAGAAGATGATGTTTGGGGTTTCAATGAAAGGTGGAATGGTTATATGCGAACAAAAATGAGGTTTGACGGTGGTGGTTTGGTTGGGCGCGGTGGTGGATATATGGTTCGCCGATGAAGATGGGAAGTGATGGTTGGCTTATATGGTGGTTATGGAGTTTGGTGGTTGTTGGAGCTGAATGAGGATGGGGGTTGCTGGTCAATAGAAGAAGATGAAAAGGGAAGGGATTTGGGTTTTTTAAAAAAATAATTAAATTTTTGTATTTTAATTTTGTTTCAAATTTTTTTTATGCCCTGGAATGGCGAATGAAAAAAGAAAACATGAAGGTGATTCTCTTTTTATGCCCTGGAATGGAGAAGCAAAAAAAATTTGTTTCGTTTTTTTGTTCCCTAACACAAAAATTAAACCGGTTCATACCAAGAAAAAAAATAAATCGATTTTACCAAATGTTATTTCTCTTTGTTTCTGTTCCCGGGAACAAAAATTAAAAAAAGAAAATTGATTCTCAAATGGTTGTCATGCACACCCTAAGAAAATCACATATAAAGATGAGTTAATGATAATTTTTTCATCTAAAATTTGTGAACATAGTTCAAATTTTTTTGCCACTTATGTTTCTTTACACTAAGGTGATTTAGTATGACTAATATTCCTATGACCAACAATGTTTCATACGGTAATATTGCTTCTATTGTTGTTCAAATCTAACTAGGTTTTCTCGGGAAGGTTAAATAGTCTTTTAATAGTTGAAAAGAGGCTTTGCATTCTGCTATCCGTTCAAAGTAATTTCCATTTGTATCAACTTGTAAAGGAGTAAGGAATGATAAACAACTTTTTCCATGAATCTTGAAGGGGGAAGCTAGGAGTCTTATTAGTTGTTGAACATTCTTGATTGTCTAGGACTCTTCATGTAGAGTACCATCCAACAATTGTTTGGGTTGTTCAATGCCATGGTGGGTGAAGATAACTCCTAAGAATTTCTTTTGCTTAGAATGAAAGACAGACTTGAGGGGCCTAAGTCTTATGTTTTGCTTGGTCCAAGTTTTTCTTAACATTAGTAATGTTTTTTTTGAGTTTTGGTTGATCTATAGGGGAAAAGTTCTCATTTTTGATATGGCCCTGGTGTTGGAAATCAGCACACATAAATCAAACGCAGAAAAGAGAAAGGGAAGAGAAATTGAACACAATGATTTACCTTGGTTCACCCAATGTAGGCTACATCCAGCTTGTCTATACAATATTCGTCTCACTGACACTCATTACAAGTCACTCAATTTACAAGGGACATATAAATAGGATTTATAAACCCTAACAACAACTATTCACCCAGTTGGCTTCCTGCTAACCTCGCCATATGTGAAGTATGAACCGTACCTAGCATTCTCCCACTTGGTGAATGCTTTGTATGTTTCTTCAGTCCCAAAGCTATACACAAGTTAAACTTCTTTGAATTCACTACCTTGGTTAGAAAATCAGCATTGTTGACCTCTATGTCAACCTTCTCTAGCAATACAACCTTGTCTTATATCTTCTCTCTGATGAGGTGGTATTGTATGCCGATGTGCTTGGTCCTCGCATAAAAACTTGGGTTCTTAGCCAAGAAAATGGCGCTTTGATTGTCACACCCAACGGTCACCTCTCCTTGTGCAAAGGAAAGCTCTTTGTACAACCTGCGCAACCAGATAGCTTACTTGAGAACATGTGTCAAGGCCATGTATTCTTCCTCTGTTGTAGATAAAGCAACTGTGGTATGTCTCTTACTAATCCAGCTGATAGCTCCACCAAATAAGAAAACAACATATCCACTAGTAGACCTTCTACTATCAATATCACCTCCCCAATCAGCATCCACAAAGCACCTCAGCTCTAGTAATGTTTGTCCCCTTGAGCTCTTCACGCCTTCATAACATAACCTAAGGTCATACGTACCATGAAGATAACAGAACACACGCTTAACCACCGTCCAATGCTCATTTCCTAGCTTAGACATATGCCTATTCAATACTCTCACTGCATGAGTAATATCTGGAAGAGTACAAATCGTGGCATACATCAGAATTCCATCTGCACTAGCATAAGGAACTGATGCCATCTTTTCTTCTTCTTCTTCTTCAGTCTTGGGACACTATTCAATCGATTACTTAGAACCAGTAGTCATCGGAGTCAACACTGGTTTACATTCAGTCATCTTAAATTTCTTCAGCACATCCTCTATGTATTTCCGCTTACTCAACCATAACCTTCCTTTGTCACACTCCCTCTTGATCTATATCCTCAAGATCACATTTGCAGTGCCTAGTATAACACCTTGCATTTCTAAAACATATATTAATATATTAAATATAGATTAATGGGCAGAATTAGTAAAAATCCTGAAATTAAGGTCAAAATACAAAGGAAGAGTAAAACGGTAATTAGCCAAACACGTAACTCTAGGAAAGTAAAATCCAGTAGGAGGTCTCAAATGAGAAAACTAACCCTGGAAATGGATTCAGAACGAAAATTGAGTGGTTAGGCAAGTTTCCGAAAATTTGGTGAATAATGTTTTTACCGGATAAAAATATCGCGGTACAGTTGCACCGTAAAGCGTGCCGAATGAATTTTGAGCTATAGATTTGGATATAAGTTATAAATGGTACATAGGACTAGGAAATATGATTTATGGTGAAATTGATGGAAATTAGTGTGTTTGGGGAAGCGTGCCCACGACGCGCATAACAGCTTAAAACTGTGATTTCTCCGAACGATCGGAAAACTCCAGATTCATCTGATCAAGGTCAATTAAAGGACAATGGTTAATGTTAAAAATTAGAGTTTCTAAATAGTATATAAAATTATGGACGTTTAGCGAAATAGGCGGGAGACTTAAAGTCGTTTGAAATCGCGTGAGGTGGCAGTGTGGCCCACCTCACTTAAGTGGACTTAGTCGCTTGTCCCATTCACTATTCATCATCACTTCAAACTTCTTTTCTCTCTCTAAAAGCCGTGGATAACACAAAGAAAGGGGGGAGGAAGACTTGGTTTGGTTCTTAGTGATTTAGCCACCAAATTGATGAAAGTTGGTCATCAAACTTCAAGTAAACGACCATCCGAACTCAACCGTACCATCCACAAGCCTTGAAACTCACTACATTGGGAGGAAACTGCCATTTTCAGCCACAAAAAGTGAAGAGATTTGTGTTCTTGGAGTGGTTTAAATCCTCCAATGCTTTAGTATGTTGTGGAGGAGTCCTAGACCAAACTTTTGAGTAAGTTTTAAAACTTTCCATTGGTTGAATCATGAGTTTTAAAATTTGTGACCTAGGGTTGATTTGTATGAATTGATGTAGTTTTAAAATGTGGCTTAGAATGATGTTTTGGAGTGATTTATGTCATAAAAATTATTGATGATTTGATTGGTAACTTAGGCAAATTTTGGAATGGATGATTCAACACTTTATGAAATGACTATGTGGTATGATTGTGTAATTGAGTTGTGGAGTGTTTGTATGAGTTAAATATAGGATTGTAAGGTGTGTGGAAGTATTAAATTGGATTGAATATCCTTTGGTTTGTGAGCTTGATGATTTCGGCCCTTGGGGTTGGATGATGCAAAATTATGTTATGGATATGTTGTGATGTTTAAATGGTATTTGGATGAGTTGTGTGATGAGTTGATGCATTGGAAATTAAAGGAAAAATACTTGGAGTGTATTAGAGTGTACATTGAACCTAAAAGGAAATAATTGGAAAAATGATGTTGTGATGGTGTAGGATGGAAAGTGGGACCTAAAATGGTGTTGTGGTAGCCTTGGGATACTAAAGAAAAATTAAATGAAAATTAAATGAAAATTAAGAAAAATATTTTGTAAATATTGCCTATAATGGCCGAACCTAGCTGGGGAGGGGGGAGAATTTTGGTGCTTTGTAATCTTGTTGATTGCACGTCGTATTGATGATCCTTGTGTGATCATTGTAGGTTGCCTCCCGCGGAATTGAACTCGGAACCGTGAGCTTGGTGGGTTGCCTTTGGTCCCGAACCAAAGGGATTGTGGTAAGTTGTTTGAACCTATGCATATATAATTGATCAACTTCCATATATCTTGGTTGGTTGATATTGAAATGGAAATGGCCTATGTGTAGGCATTTCTGGTGAACCAAGCTTGGTGATACTGTGATTGGGAGCTATTAAGCGGAAGAGATTATTCAGGTAATCCCTTGGTACTGGGGTTTGATCCCCGTGTGTGCTCCACCATACCTTTTGAAGGTAGTGGTTGGAGGTGTATGTTCGTAGTATAGTATAACATGATCATGCATATTATATGTATTGTAGTACATAGGATATACTGAGTCTCTAACAAGTAGACAGTTTGCCTTCGGGCGTTACGGACTTCCACTGGATAGGTCTCCATGAGGGAGTTCCGGTTGACCTGGAGTCGTGGTGTTTCATCCATAGAGGAGCACACTAGAAAGTCTCGGATGGATATGGATGGAGGGTGCCTTGGTCATTGTTCTGGGAACACTTCCTTGGATGAGGACCCGTAGGCTATATGCCGAGGCCAATAGGCCGGGCGTTGCGTGTAACACCCCGTGCATGCCCGGTTTGTTAACATGTCATCGTATTAAGCCACGCTTAATTATAAATGCGGAATAACTTTTTCTGTTCAATTATGACGTCATTATCATTACCAAGTTGAATTACTTAATTCATTTAAAAAACATTGCCTGTATGTAAAATGCAAAAGACAACTAACTGAAATACCTCAATATATAGATAAGTGTGAGTATCTAAGTCACGGATCTACAACACGTAGTCCGGACAATATCCTGATACATTATACAATTCAGATAAACTCAAACATAAAAGAAATCAATGTGGCATGGACAACCCCCATGCTCATCAAATAAGGCAACAAGGCCCAACAACAGTCTTCAATCCTAAAACAAGATAATAAATGCAAGACAGATCAGCATCCAAGCATATCATCATAAAAGCAAAAATATCAGCTAAGCTCTGGCCTCCTGCTGCTAGAAGTCTCAACCCCCGCATTACCTGAACCAGAAATATGTGCCCCAAATGTGGGGTGAGATCTCTAAACAGAAATCTTAGTAAGACAAGGGGGTCCTCAAGGATCTTTCACCCCAAGCTCACTTACATGTGCAATATAAGTTCTTAAAGCAGTCATATAATATAAGTTCCAAAGTTAGTGTAATGCAACAGATAACCATGTCATGTGTGTCAAGATATTCTACTGGCCAGAGAAATGCATAATATACGTCTATTTCCTACAATCAGTGCAAGACGCCACTTACACCCACCCACAGGATCACCATCTTGTTGACGCCACATACTCAGGTTTTCCGTCTAGATGGAACAACACATGCATATTATAAGTCCCTTACACTTAACAGCTCAAAAGTATTCCAATCATCAAAGCATGAAAACACATCATGCATATAAACCATTCCCCCATGGGGTATGGTGGAACCGACAATGGCTAAATCGAGGACACAAAAGCTTACCTTGCAAGCTAACTATCCAAAGCAAGAGTCCACGCAAGCTCAAAGTCCATACACAGCAGAATCATAATCTGTTTTGGACCAATAATCATATCAATATTCAAACACAACAAGCATATGACATAAAGACAATGCCTTTCCTTTACGTTTTATGTCTTTATGCTTCTTACAAAGCCACAAGCCCTTAATCACGTAGACTCTGACTTAACAAGTCATTACAGAAGTCCAACTTCATCAATCTAGGGTTCACAAACCCACAATACATTTTGTATGAACAATACCGTTACTGTTCACGCAAACCCAGAATATCCGGATATATGTCGGGGACATATCCGGATATCCTATATCCGGATATCCTATATCCGGATATGCATATCCGGATATGCATATCCGGATATCCATATCCGGATATCCATATTCGGATATCACAAGACCCCATATTCGGATATTTCGCGACAGAATGCAGTTTATGCATTTCGCGAGATATCACTTCCAAGGTTCTATTTTTAACACTTCTAAACGTTAAAGCATGAATCTTTAAGCCCATTTAGGTTCATATACTGGTTGGTTACCCATTTAACTCATTAACATGCCAATACTCAACTTTTAACTAAGAAAATCATGATCAAATGTGGTGACACTTACCCAAGGTTCAAAACAGCAAACCAAAGGTGCTCTTGGAGCTCACAAGTCAGCCCCAAGGTGCTGACTCCAAAGGTACACGAAAATATCACTCAAGCAAGGTCCTTTCTTCATAAAGTTTGCTTCTTGGAGCTCCAACAACCCAAGGAAACACTCCCACACCACACAACTTAGAAATAGCCCCTTCCCAACACACTCACAACCCCCACAACTCAGAAGATTACACCTTTCTCACTCTCCAATACTCACACCCAAGTGTTTAATTGATTAGAGATGAAGAAATCAGAGAAAAGAGGTGACTTGGTGTTTTATCATGCATGGAGAACAAAGGGGAAGGGTGGCAACAGCCAAGCTCTCAGAAACTTCACGTAGGCACAAGAGAAATGACCTAAAAATCTGTGCCAAGGCCTTATATAGCCTCATTAATTTTTAATCGTGCTGTATTAGCGCTAATAGCTACGCTTAGAATTTTAATCCCAAACTCAGGATTCTGATCCTACTCATTTTTCTAAGATTTATCATATTTTTATTTTATTTTTTGCAGCACCTTTTTGGTACGCGCTTTTCCATAGCCAGTATCAGCTCTGGCACTAGTTCTCATTATTTTAACTTGAAACTTGTTTTACAAGTCCTATATATTATTCTAGTGACATATACACACTTTTCATAATTTTCCGGGATACTTCATCGGTACGCATTTATACCGAATAGCAGAACTGGTATCTGCACTTTTCGTCCGAAAAGAGACTTTCAACATTATTAATTACTTACCATAATTAATTAAGCCTTATCATAATTATTAGGGTCAATTATGAAATTATTTCCTAATTTCTCAAAATTATTTAATTAACTTCCTTAATTAACGGTACGGGTTCTTACATTGCGTGGCTTTGGCATTGACCATTCCAGCTTCGTCGTATTTTGTTCTCTATGCTTCCTTACTTCACTAAATCCCTTACTTTATCCCGTTTTAATGTTGTATTATATTATTGATATGCATCGAAGTGAGCCATTGGACGGAGTATTCTCCAGAACCTCTGGGTTACTGAGATATATTCGTATATCTCACCCGCTTTGGGGACTTTATTTCAGGTACTGTCAATGGAGTTGGAGCGGCGGGCAAGAGGCTCGTAGGATGAGCTCATGACGTATTGTGGATTTTGTATTTTGGGGTCACATGGCCTAGGCTAGACTTAGGACATGAACATCGTATTGAGCTAGGACTATTCTTATTGTCATCTTTGTTCATGTCATTTTTGGCTAAGTTTAGTTTATGTTTATCATGTTTTCATTTGGAGCTTATTGTATTATGTTCATTGGAGAAGAATGTATATTGTAATTTGTAATTTGGAGACCTTGTGTAATATTGCAGCATGTATATGATGAAAGGGCAATAGGCCTATTCTAGGATTTGATTTATGTTTTATGTCAAATAAATACATGCAAAGGATTAATGTGATTGAAATGGTTTAAGAATTGATATTGAAATTGTTAAGTTGTAAAGTGAACTCATTGATATAAATTGTAAAGGGTTGTAAGAGCACCAAGCCATTGCTAGTCCTTGAGTGCCACCTATGTTTATTAGGTACAAATTGAGGTTAGATAACACACCTTTAAAGGTGGGAAATATTGGAAAAATAAAGGAGACTCTAGCGAAATTTCTAAGAATTTGCAGAATTTGGATGAACTTTGGAAGAGTATATCTCCCTCCACAAGGATCCAATAGGGACGTGCCATAGTAAATATTGAGATGTCAACTACCTTGTGTCAAAATTTGAGAACCAAAGGAGCACCACGCTGTCCTGTAGAAGCTGAGCACAGACTGCTCAAAACGCCCTTGCACATTGGGCTGTCTCTGGCAGTTTATGGGAAATTTATTCCCGCTTCGTTTCTTTGTCAAATTAGGTGTATGATATGTCAAATTGAAGCTGGAGGTGTCTAGTTTACTGTATAGAAATTTGAGAGCAATTAGTTGAGTGGATTTTCCAGAATCGTTGAGAGAGTGTAGGCTGTTTAGAGCCCTGTTTGAGGTTGGCTGACAGATTTGCTTGTCCAACTTCAAACGAGAACTTTATGACTCGTATGATAGCTTGCTAGAAATATAATTAAGTGTAGAATACTAAAAGATGAGAAGCACCCGGCTTGCGGATTTTTTGCAGTAATTAAAATACCGAACAATGTTCGAATAGGTAGAAAACCAAAAAGTGAGATTTAAGCTAAGTGGGTTTATGAGAATCCCTTAGTGACTTGAGAGGAGTATAATATGATATTTAAGCAGTTGTTTTAATTATTCAGCAATTAGTTTTCAGTTACGGTCACAACTTTATTTATTACGCTTTTTTATTATTTTAAATGCTCGCGTAATAAAAAGTAAAAAGTTTACTCGCATTTTATAAATGAATTGTTATGATTGTAACTGCGCTTAATATCATAATCAATGTTAACAATACCGGTGTACAACAGGCTGTTACACCTAGATCTTTCATTTCAAACTGCTTCACCAACAATCCTTTGGCAGTGCGAATCATCTTCAAACTATTTCCAACTAGTAATATATCATCAACATACAAGGTTAAAATAACAAAGTCATCTTCTAACCTTTTGACATGCACATAATGATCAGCATAACAACAGTCAAAGCTGAGCTTTTTGACCTCTGTCATATCATATGACCTCTATGGCATCCTTCAGATACATGGATTTGTCTGTCATATGTTCATAGCCACCATGGATGTTATGACATTTGGGCTTGTCTTTCTATTCTCTCTTTTTTATTGGGAGAGGTTTGGAAATATTGTGAAGCTTAATGTTCATGACCTCATGAAATATATGAAAACAAGATGTGTCGAGGGCATTGGCAGAGCTACTAAGTTCAAGACACCAGCTGATTTTCAAAAAATTAGATATTTTCTTTAAAATTTATAATGTAGTTTTGGTATTGATTAGGTTTTTAAAAATAATACAACATTAGTATTAGCTGGATTTTTTTTTTTTTTTTTATAACATATTAGCTGGATTTTACTAGTTGAATCTTTTGACATTGGTCGGGTCTTGTCCGTGGCTCCGCCATTGGTCGTAATCCTCATACTTCCCCGGAAGAGCCTTTTTGGGGTTTCTGTCACTTTCTCGTGGTAGTTAAGGTCTCTAGTTCTTTTTTTTAGTTGTGGGGTCTCGTGATCTTTTGAGTTTTTATTCGCCTTCTTGTAGTCCTCACGATTGATGTATTTCTCAAACCACACTCTGAACTCATCTATCATCCTAGGCTCTTATTTGGCCAATGAGGTAGTGAACAGGCCAAGCCCACAGTTCATCTACAAGTAGGTGTAAGGTGGTCTTGGGATCAAGATCTCGTACTAGTAGGAATTCTATATTGATTTTAGACCTAAAATCTCAGAGAAACTTTGTCCCGCTTCTGCTTCATCTAATACAGGGATTATGAGAATTGTGATTTCTTCTTGCTGGTGGTAAAATGTAGTAGGAACTCAATTATTAAGTTGTTCTATTGGTTGACAAATCTTAGTGGTAGGGAGGGAGGGGAACTACCATAGTGTGGCCTTTTTGGAGGCAAGTGAGAACGTTCAGCATACATGAGCGGTTTTCTGCTTGCTTGGAAGAGTGAAAGCGTCTAGATGTTCCTATTGGTTTTTGGTGAGCCATGATTTTCTCCGAGAAAGGGTGATTGACATATAGGTCGGATTGATTACTTTTTTAGTTTCTAAAGGAGAGCAAAGACCCAAATTTATCACTTTGAGTCTTGTTGAAATGGTTTAATTCTCTTTAAGTGACTACTATTGCGACATAGTGAAGGATGATGCACTTGTAAAAGGCACTCCGATCCTTGCATTAGTAAGGAACAAGAAGGACAAGAATACCTTACAAATTGTGTGTACCTAATCCGTGAGAGTAGCCCTTTATATAACAAGATAATTAATTTAGTAGAAAATGCTTTTTCAATTGTGTTTAAAGATATGCAATTATAAAAGGGGTGAGAGATCTAAGATATGGAGACAGTTCAGCAGCATCTTGGCAATGAGAATAATATCTATCAAAAGTACCCAACCTCTGCATATTTGGGTTTGAACCTTGGGCCTGCAAATTAATGGATCAGGATTTGAGTTCGAATTCAAAATATATACAAGAAGGTTAGTTACCAAATACAAGACCCTACCCGAAGAGAAAGGGAGAATAAAACTTAGTTTTATGTTTTTGTGGCATAATTTATTTGAAAGTCCAACCATCTTTCAATTTTATCAATCCGAGTTTGTTTTAAAATATCATAAAGCTTTATATTCATGATTAGATAGAACTAGTGGAAAAGAAGGTTCGATCCTCTTGTCATTTCCAAAGGAGAATACCACAAAACCTGGAATATTAAATTGGAACAAAATTGGGCCCCCCTTTTACAAGAATAAGTCAATACCTCTGGCTACGGTGATAAACGAGTTGGAGGATCTTTTGGTTCGCCTCGTAAAGGTCTGAGCTTACATGTTTAATATTGGTTGTTGGAATCAGACTTAGATTTGTATAAAAACTTGTTTAGTTAAAAGGTCAGGCTCCAATTCAAAAACTCGACCTTGGAGCCTCTCAGATTGACCTAGTATATTAATTTTTATTTTTATTTATATTTTTTATATTATTTGTAATAGCCCTCTCTCCTCTCAATCTATCTCACCCCTATTTTATTAGTTAAACAGACTTTTTGAATAATTTTGTTCTATATTATGCTGTTTGGATATACATTGAATTTATGAATATTTATAGAATTACTACTATTGTTGATTGTATATTCTGTTTTTTGTTGTCTTATTTTTTTCTAACAGACTAAATCAGATTTTTATTTTTTGTAAATAAGACAAGTCACATGCCGATAATTATATTCGTAACAGATAACAAACTTGATAAAGCCCACGTATTTAAACACAGACCTAATCTTTTAACACTAAAGTTCAGCTCGGTTAAAGCCGATTAAGACTCCTGTCTCTCGCAATCCTTTATCCAACCACAGATACCTTTACCATTACCCCAAATACTAATCCCCACATCGCTTATAACTCACAACAACACACAGTCACAACAACACACGCTCGCTGTGTCCCTAACTTCTTTATTTGTTTTCCTTCTCTTTCTCTCGCGCTCTCACTCTTACCAAAGGAACAGTAAGTAAAAGAAGGAGCAGAAGAAGAAGATGCAGATCTTCGTGAAGACTTTGACCGGAAAGACCATTACCCTCGAGGTTGAAAGCAGTGACACCATCGACAACGTCAAGGCCAAGATCCAGGTTCTCTGTTTTTTTTTACCCCTTTTTAAATGGTTATAATTTCACCGCGTTAGGGTTTCTGATGATTGATTTTCGTGATTTTTTTTGCTCGTATCTAATAATATATAACTATGCTTGCTCAATCAATTTAAGGGTTTCTATTCAATTTCGTGTTTGCGAGGTTTCAAAGTTGAAAATATGTGTGGAAGTGTAAAGGTTAGAACTTGAATTTTTTATTCTATGGAGAAAAAAAAAGGCGAGTAGAGTTACCCATAGGGACTAGGATTATTTGCACCTAAAAAATATTCATGCTTTATGTGATGGGGGGTATTTAGAACGACAACAACAGTACTCTTGCTTTTGTTATCCTTTTGTATGTACTCAAGGGTGTTAAATTCTTTGTATTGTTGGATATTGGGTTTTCCTTGTAGGAATTACTTTCTAGATATAGAGCACATAGTGGGTTCTTCATAGTTGTATGGTTCATGGTTATGAATAGTTGAATGTTTGTTTAGTTGAATAGTTGTGAAAGCTGAAATGTGGTGACTGTTAGTCAAGAAATAATTATTATTAAAACAGCTTGGCAGAAGCTGTTTTTAGTTTTGGCAATGCAGTTTATGAAAATAAACCCAAAACAGCTTATATGAGTTTGAAAAGCTGTTTTGATATGCTAATCCTAACAGGACCAAAATGCTTTGTAGGCATTTATTGCAATAGATAGGCCAATAAACTGAAAATAAGCTCTTCCAAATGCGGCCTTTATCTGTTTTATATAACATGATGCCTACTTAGTAGGAGCTTGATGTATAAATGTATAAATGACTGTGTCGTTGTCATTTGTAAGTTGAATCATTAATTTCTAACAAATAGTGGTGGAATGTGCTTGTAGGACAAGGAAGGTATCCCTCCTGACCAGCAGAGGTTGATTTTTGCCGGTAAGCAGCTGGAAGATGGCCGCACTCTTGCTGATTATAACATACAAAAGGAATCCACACTTCACTTGGTCTTGAGGCTCAGGGGAGGAACCATGATTAAAGTGAAAACTCTAACTGGAAAAGAAATTGAAATTGACATTGAGCCAACTGATACAATTGACCGGATCAAGGAACGAGTTGAAGAAAAAGAGGGAATTCCGCCTGTGCAGCAGAGGTTTTCTCTTTTCATTTTTAGTTATGCTGATTGGGGTTAGCTAACTCAATTGGAAAATGATTTACTCTTTGATGAAAACCGCATGTCACTTGTTAACTGCAAAATCTTATGTTTCAGATCATATACTTGAATATTTCTCCCCCTCTATTATTTTGGCACATAAAGATAGAGAAGATACATGGATGTAGCTATCATTTGTTCATTTTCTTGGTTCACCTTTAAGGCATCCTCTTGTGGGGCTTTTCTTGATGATTATGTGGTCTAGTTAACTATATTAAAATGTAATCTTGTCAGTGAAAAAAAATGATAGAAAAGAGGGAAAAATGTGTGGCCTTTCTTTTTAAAATTCATATATCATATTTTTATTTGTCATACGCTGTCTAGATAAGAATTAATCTAAAAAATTTGGAATGCTTTTCCATATCCATACCATAATTCATGCACTGTTTCAATTAAAAAATTACTGGTAATAGTGCATCATTTGCCTCTTGTAATTGATATGTTTATACAAGTCCCATTGGATTGCATTGCATACTAGAATCATTAGTGGTGAATCTTCTGAACAATGCTTAGTTGTTAATGTTTTATGTTATATTGCAGTTGTATCTAATTTGCTTGATATTCAAGAGCAATAGTGCATTTTAATTATAATTCTTGTCAATTGAAGTATTTGTTCAGTATCAAATGAGGTTTCTTTTAGGTTTCTTCACGGATTACTATATATGAAAAGAAATAGTTTTTTTATTCTATTGGAATCATTAGAATCTCACGACTGTTTCCTCTTGCTGTAGGCTGATATATGCTGGTAAGCAGCTTGCTGATGACAAAACAGCTAAAGAGTACAACATTGAGGGTGGTTCTGTACTTCACTTGGTGCTTGCATTGAGAGGTGGTGCCTATTAGGTAGAATGCATATCAGATCCCAGAATCACCTTGTTCAGGCTTGGTCACTTGCTGGTTCTTGGTAAATGTTTTGAGTTGCATCTGAACCTTAAGACATGAAAAGAAGCTTTATAGCTATCCGTTTCTGAACACATCATTGCTCTTTTATGTACTTGGTTTTTGTAACTTTGCGGCTATTGTTGGTGGTCAGTATATTGAAGTTGTGTGCTTTTTTATACCCAAAGTTTGGCCTTTATAATGAATCTTTGAATCAATAATTTATAATCAATCTTTAGGAACATAATTTGCATCACTCTCAGTCTCTCATGCTTCTCCAGGTAGTCCTGATGTCTAACCTTCTAACAGTCCTGTAAGAGAAATGCATCTGTTGTGGCTTTGTTTGTGAGAATTTTTAAGATCTTAAACAGAGGGAATTAGGGAAAGGAAGGTTGTATTGAGATGATTGTATTGATTGTTGCTCTTCTATGGGCATTTGCATGCGATGTGGTCAAGTCATATCCATGTGGTTCTTTGTTGCTTAATGCCCATTTCAAATCGTTTTATCTGTTTCTCACTTGCATGGCTTATTATTATTATTTTAATTCTGTTTGGGTATATTCTTATTCATCTATCAAATTGTCTGAAGAAACCAAGTGGAGATGGCTGCCTACAACCAAGCACGTTTAAATTACACTAATTTATATCATAATAAATTTTCATTCTAAATTTGAGGTGAATATTAGTGGTGGGCATGGTTCGACTCAATATTTTTCTTTAAATCAAACCAAACTGGTTTAAATTGGTTTGGTTCAAAGAACTGAACAGTTTTATGTAATTGGAATCGGTTTTATTTTTTCCGAACTGGTTTGGAATTAGTTTATGATCTAGAACCGTTTTAGAACCAATTCGGATATGCAAATTATGTTTGAACTGATTTTGAACGGTTTCAAAGTTTCAAACTGGTTTTTCAAATTAGTTCTTGTGGTTCAGTTTAATTTTTATTGTGATTTATAAAATTATTTCCGTTCTTAAAAAATGCAAATCTGTTTGATTACATTTGATTGATTATATTCAATCGGACATATAATGAAATAAAGTTGAGTATCTTTCTCAACGAGGATTAAAATTTTCAAGCATTAATTTGCTGTGTTTAACTTTATTTGAATCATTTCATATGGATCGAAGGGATTTCTAAAATTCAAAATTACAAAAAGTTAAAAAATAAGACTTGCTGTTGTGAAATTGCGAAGAAAAAGAACTTTCAGTTAACAAAATATTTAGGGTCTAGTTTTACTTATAAACGTGGCCAAACCTAATTAAATACAACTCTTTCAATTCTTGAAAACTTTTACATTGAAACACGCATCAAGATTAATTGAATTCACTAAAGTTACATAATACTAATAATAATGGGGCATGATGTATTTATCACCAAAAAAATTTACCACTTTTACAGTCAACTTAATCACCGTTGATTTTCGTTTTAGAGTTTGATTTACATGTGTCTTTTCATTTTGAGAAGTACATTTAAAGGGTATTTGGTAGAGGAGAAAAAAAAAATTATCCAGGAATCACGATTTCTGAAAATATGGTAGAAAAGTAAGTTTCTTAGAAATGTTATCAAAAAGCATGTTTGGTAGGCCAAAATATTCCCGAGAATAGTGAGTCCTGATACGATGTTTGGTTAATGGTAAAATATTGCTGGGAATGTGAACCAAATTTACAAAATTAACCTTTTATGTTTACTCAGCCTTGTTTTTTTGGTTCAATTCATTTCCCCTCAACAGTGGTGAAGAACTTCCTCTCCTTCTCAATAGAGCCAAACTTTCTTCAACTCTGTGGTTATGGTTGCTGTTATTGCCTTTTCTTATCCACAGTAGGGTTGGCAAAAACGAGCCAACCCGTCGGGTTGGCTCGCAACTCGTCCTAAATGAGTCGGGTTGGGTTGGCCTAAATGAGCTGCCAACCCGATACAACCCGACCCGATACAACCCTAACCCAAACGAGCCAGCCCTCGGGTTAAACGGGCCAGCTCGCGGGTTGGGTATTTTTTTTAAATTAAAAAAAATAAAACGTTTGGTTTGAGCGTTTTAATGCTGAAGACCAGAATCCTTTTCCAGCATCAGGGCGCTAACACGTTCTGGATGGACGTTTTAGCGCTCCAGACCAGCATCTTTTGGCTTCTTTCTGTAGCAGGGCGCTAAAACGTTCTGGATGAACGTTTTAGCGCTCAACACTTAGAATTTTTTCTCTTCTTCAGAATCTTCTTCCTTCTCCTAGAGCCAACCCGCGAGCTTTTTTCCGAGCCAACCCGCGAGCTGATTATCGAGCCAACCCGCGAGCCAACCCTAACCCGGCTCGGGTTGGGCTGGGTTGGATTTTCTGGCTCGTTTATTTTTTCGAGCCAACCCTAACCCGACCTGATTTTTACGGGTTGAATGCGGGTTGGGCCGGGTCGAGTCGGGTTGGCCCGTTTTGCCAACCCTAATCCACAGTCACTACACCAAATGGTAAAACTTTTCTTTCTTTGCATAACTTCGTGAATAGTAGAACACAAACAAACAAATAGCAAAAAGCACAAATAGCAAAATGCTAGTCTTCCCCTTCTCCACTAGAAAGCTAGAATCATCAGATTCTGCACTGAAATAGACTTCTTTGTTAATCCGAAGCACAAACACTATCACACAAATATACTTCCTTATCTCTTCTCTTCGTTCCAAATTTTCATCTTAGAGTCGCAGAACCCTGAATGACTTTGTCCACCCCAAATAAAAAGCCTATTGTGAAGAAAGAGAGAGGAAAATTGAAAGCTTGAGGTTACAGAAGTAAAAAGAAGAAGAAGAAAAGACACTGTTAATTTTGTCCCAAAAAAATGGCTCAAGTTTCCCATACGTTAGGATTCGCAAAATACCACCCATCATGTGGTATTTTGAGTTGGCATTCTTTTCAGAAAAAAGAATCTTAGAAATCTGATTTTTCTGGAAAAAAATTTGTAATCCTTATACGAAACGTGGATAAATCAGATTCCCAGACTCACTTTCCCATTATTCTAAATTTTTTCCTTCTACTGAACACCCCCAAAGGTTTTTTCTATTATATGTTTGTATATATCAATTGCAAACTTTTGTATAATTTACATTATATTGGAGTTTGAGGCGTAATAGTATTCTAAAGTTTAGTATTGTTAGGACTATTATGTCTATGACTGATATCATATTAGAGTTGAGGCAAAATATTTTTTTGATAAACCATACAACTTCTCTGGCTTCAGCGAGTTTGAAATACATTATGATGATTAATAAAGAAAATAGTAATATGGTTGTTGAATTACATTGGCATGTTATTTTCTTGCTACACTTCATGTGAATGGTTAGTCGACAAAATTAATGACATTTGTATCATGAGAAGGTCTTAATAATATATAGGATATAATCCCTACATTGATTTGATGTTGCTTGCCTTTATTTTGATAGAGTTATATTTAAGTATTTCAACTTGGATAATATGTTTTCTTCAAATGTGACCACTGTAACATCTATCATAATTGGTCAGTATATATAGAGGATATCACATTAATTCTTAAATTTTTTAATTTTTTAATTTTTTAAATAAGAAAATGAGAATTATAACGAAATTCCAATGCAACAGATATAAAACAAAGCATATGATAAAATTCTCTTAAAATTTAATTATACATGAGACAGAAGTCAAGTTCACTAATACATCTGGAATAGACTAGATTACATCATCATTTAAACTGAAACAAAACATTTTACTCTATCAAGGTAGAAAACTAAAGTCACTTCACAGGTACACAAAATCACTCTGAACTCCATACGGTCCTCAAAGTCTTTATCTGTAGTGCTTCAATCCTACTTCTAAGCTATACATATTGACATGCTTATTTTCTAGAAAGGTTAGCATAAATATAAACACACATGAGACAAATTTTCGTAATATTGGAATTTTCGAACTATAACCAGTCCAGCCGCTTTCGCGAAAAATATCATTCTCACATCACATGTTTATAATAAGAAAATAATAACTTAAATAACAATCATATAAAAGAACATGAAATCTTGAAACTACTAAAGCCCAGACCTTTGTAGGTTCTACATACAAACATGTAAAAGAACGTGTAACCTTTAGCTGCCCAAACCTTTGTGGGTTTCTATATGTGAAAGGTTTTGTTTGGTGGAGCTCAAGCCAAGTAAGGCATCCCAAAATCGTTAATATCCATTTGGCACCAAAGGAATTCTTTAGTTCTATAGTCTTGATTCAATATCATTTTTATAATCAATAAGTGAATACCCATCAAATCCCTAAAACTAAAGATAGTAGATAAATCAAAACAGTAGACTATATTCATAAGAAAATAGTTTTCCAGAATAACGACACCTCTCTTAGCTTTTCAATGAAAAAACTTCAAAATATCAACTTTGACTTTAAAATAGATGAATAAGAATTAAAATAGGAGAATGAGATTATCTCTCAATATTACTTTCCTCTTTTATTTTCTCTACTTTCTTCTCTCTGTCACTTTTTTTCTTCTTCCTCTTTCCTTTATCTTTTTTACTTCTTCTTTTCTTTCTCTTTTCTCTCGGATTCTTTTCTCTGCTTTTTGTTTTTCTTTCTTTCCCTTGGTTCTTCTTTCCTTTCTCTCTCTCTGTTTCTTCCTTTCTTTCTTCTTTCTCAGGGGTGTGTGTGTATATATATATAGCGAGGAACATGGAAGAAAAAGTGAGAGTAAAAGTCTTTGATTTTTTTTAGATTCGGATAAGATTGATTCAGATATTTTAAGAGAAATTATCATGTGAATTATATATATATATATATATATATATATATATATATTTATTTATTTATTTACACGTGGCGCTACTGGCACGCCACACACACACACTGGTGCTAAAGTTTCCAAACAAACACACACATTGGCGCTTTAAGCGCCAATTATATATATATTTTTTGAATATTATATTTTTCCTCTCTTAAATAAAATTTTGTCACCTTAATTTAGACATACATTTTAGAAAAAATATTTCTGAATAACTTTGTTCAATTACTTGTAATCCACACCGTTAACAAATAACTAATTTATGCTAAAAATCACATCTATGTCAATTATACACAGATAAGGTAAATCTATCTTAAATAACTTTTCTTCAATTTGAAGAGGATAATTCCTACAGACATGAAATGTAGCTCTCCTTTTCCTATGGGACTGTAGAATGAGGTAACTTTAATGTTTTTTAGTAGAAGATAGGGAAATGAAAGAATGAGTAGCCCTAGAATCATAAAATACTGTTATAAGAGAATCTTGTATTGGACCTATACCTTGAACCAAATTTGAAGCTTAAGCCGATTCCTAACCACTGAGAGTAAAATCTCTTCATTTTGTTATAGATTGGTTGGATGAATTCTGACATTGATTTTGAGGGCACTGCCTCATCAAGTGTTCTGACTTCC